TTTGTTTTGTAATCAACCTATACTGCTTGAGCTCTATGTGACTGATTGACTCAAAAGAACCAAATCTTTAGAGTCATTTATTGAACTACACTGGTTGTACTCCATGTATTTGATTCACTATAAAGATTCAAATTATTAGAATCATTTGTTCTGTAATTAAAAACACACTGGTCAGACTAGAGATTTGATCACTCAAAAGAACCAGTCATCACTGAACTACACTGGTCGCACATTATGTCTTTGATTCACTATTCAAACTATACTGGTTGTGCTCTGTGTTTGATTCACTTAAAAGAACCAAATCTTTAGAGTCATTAGTTCTGTAATCGAAATACGCTTGGTCTATTTCACACTGCAGATTCAGATGAATGCTGTCAGCACTGAATAAGTATTGCAGTCTGAGTATTTTAGTACAATATTCAGTCTACAATGCACCATAATGGAACCACACATCACAAACACTATTACAAATGTCACTTCACCTTATGAGTAAAATCCTGAAGAACCACAGTGTTTGTGCAGTTTGACTTGCCAGCTTTCTCATCGCACAGAGCACACGCTCCACACAGTTCATCTCAAACACACCAAGCACAGGGTTCGGCTTCAGACGGCACCCAAACCGTAAACGAAAGCCCTGAACTCTCCCAGTTTGCTGCAGCACGGAGGGATTTCTGAGGCGAACCGAACACACTTCCTGGAGGAGCTTCTTTGTTTTCTTTCACAGCCGAAGTTTGAGCAAACCTCCGCGTCTGTCCAGTGAAGAGATCCGTCTCAAGAGCACTTTTGCTTCCCTTGTGTCACCCTTTGCCCCGTCTTTACAATTTAAGAGCTCGTAGCTGTACAGTGTTGAATGGCGGCTGATTCTGCTCCGTTTTTCTGCATTCCTGCGAGTCAGGCTCAGAGAGAATAATGCCCGCGGGTCAAAGGTCACTTCCTGTGCGTTAATAACCCAGCAGTCTGACATCAACAACAACAGACTGATCAAGAGGGAAAACAGGAGGATGAAATGTACAGCTGATATGAAGATCTAATACGATTGCAAAGCCAAAGCTGGAGAGCGTTCGGAGCAAGTATTTGTCAGGCGTGTGACTTTCTCCGTCTGTTAAAGAACGCTCAGAATCACTTCCAGAAACCACCGCATTGTATAACGCACAAAACAACGGCAGAAGGATCACGGGTTTGTCAAGAAGAACGTTTGACGATGATTGAGCAGCTTGCAATGTCCAGTTTGTGGTTTTTACAGCATGCAACAGTCTCCAAAAACTGGAGACAAAGCCTGAAAAAAAACTAAAAAAGCAGAGCTCTGGAAGATAAACAAGCCAAGCAAATGTCAATGACTGATTTGGCAGAAATGAATGGGAATTCTTTCAAGATGCATTAAAAAAACTGAAAGAAACTGCGGTAAAGATGCTGAAGTATGGAATTAACTAAGCAGCACACACTTCCAAAAAACTCAGAGAAACTCCTGAACAAATGGTCAGATGCACTTCCATTTGGATCATCTCACAGCATGCTGGGAAATCTGTGGAGGACACGCAAACCAAATATGAAGACATTCATCTTCAGTTTAACATTCATTTTTTTCTCAAATTGTTATGCTGATAACATCATTTGTACTAAAATGCTTGCATTCAATTAGAAAAAAAGAAAACACAACAACAACAAAAAGATTTTAGTTGTAGCCAAACTTCTAAAAAAGGGCCAAAAATGTGCAAAACTTTTAATCTGCTGAAATTGCATTTACAAATGAAAGGGTTCTTTTTATAAATAAAGGTTTTTGATTGAACGTTTAGTAAAGATTTCAAAAACACCTGATAAGAATAAACACGCTTCATGAAGACACGTGGGAGTCATCAGTTAAATCATCACTAATAGATGAATTTACTATAGTATCGCATATATGCAATTGCTCTCCACTGCAATCAGCTTTTCTCCCTGGACTCAGTATTTTCAGCGTGTTCTGATGCATACAGTCAGAATATGTTCATAATGACATGAAAGTGCCAGATGGCTTTAAAGGACATGAAAGGCATGTGGGCATAGCATGAGTCCAGCTGTACACATGTCCGGCAGATACACGCATGTCTGCAATCAGAAGCGAAGCACGTGAGGCTGGATCGCTCTCAACAGATGTCACACCATCGGCTCTTCAAACCCAATAACAAGACATCAAACGCAACAGAGAATGGAGCGAGCGCAGTCCACACAGATCCAATGCCTTGACAAAGAACTAATTGAGTCCGTGAGCTGTAATGGCTTGCACATGTTTAGGTGGAGAGGTGTTGGTTTTGCTCAGTCTCAGCGGATCATGCGAAACTGTCATGAAAAGAGTCAAAGAAACAGAATGAAAACTGTATGTAGAATCAGTGTTGGGGGTAACGCATTACAAGTAACGCGAGTTACATAATCAGATTACTTTTTTTAAGTAACTAGTAAAGTAACACATTACTTTTTAATTTACAAGGAAACATCCGAGGTACTTTTTCAAATAAATACCTCCAGTTACTTTTTTTCCATGTGTTGAGTGACAGCTCTGGTGTTGCCATGGTGACAGAAATCAGGAGTAAGAGCAGAGCGTTGTGTGTGAACATGATCTTACTGTAGTTCTAGACTAAATATCAACATGTGTTTACTCATCTCACTGCACACAAACACATTCAGTGTTCCTCACAATCAATAAAAACAGTCAAATGCAAACTCAGAATATTATACAAACCTGCAATAATTAAATATGTTAAATAAGACAAATATCATTTATGTATTTAATCCCATTTTATTAACCAGTGTCTTTGTTACTGACCTTCGATGGTCCAATTCAACCATACTAAGCAAAAATAACACATTTGTGTTTCATTTTTTGTTATTGCTGAATAGTGTTGAACTTGCGTCATATTCTTCATGAGATTAGTTTGAGCGGCGCCCTCTACTGTACAGACGTGAATTTACATTTCCTTCAGCCTGAGCCGCATTCATTTCACTTTTGGTGTGAAAGGGCTTTTACATTTGTAAAAGAAGAATGTTTTTATATTAAAAAACAAACAAGCAAGCCCTGCCCAGATTTTAAAAGTAACTCAAAAGTAACGCAACGCATTACTTTCCATAAAAATGTAACTAAGCAATGTAATTAGTTACTTTTTAGGGAGTAACACAATATTGTAATGCATTACTCTTAAAAGTAACTTTCCCCAACATTGTGTAGAATTCAGAAAAAAACTAAGAACGTGAACCAAAGAACAAGAACCAAACTTCCCTGAAATAGTACTAACAAACACTGTAGCCTTAAGATTGAAGACATTCCTTATTTCTTACTATACGGATGACATTGATTTTAAGCATGATTTTGATGTTCAGCGATGTCTGCCACCTCAGTTTTTCCTCTTCTTGTCCTGAGCCGTACTTGAGGGAGTCTAAATTGGTTGCAGATGTTTGTGTAAAAAAAAAAAAGCTTCAAATAGGTACAATGTGAGCGGCTGCTTGACCTGGACGTGATTGGCTCAAGGCAGCGTTTGGAGGAAACACAGCTTTCTAACTGAGCTGTGAGAGGAGAACTGGCCCGGCCGCGCTGGACAACAGTGAATACAGCTCAGAAGGTTAACAGACAACTTCTGCATGCTCACCTTATCTAACGCTACAGCATGCCTTCCGTGTGTGTGGCACACGACTCACAGCAGTTATTTACTGAAGAATCCCGAGCACATGGACACACACACACACACACACAAGCCACACACACACACACACTCTCACACACACTCTCACACACACACACTTCAAAGTACTTCGGCATCCAGATGTAAGCTTGACTTTGTTTGACACTAATAGAACATGAAAGATTTGACTAAGTTTTATAAACAACATCACAACTTTGCCAGGGTGAAATTTTATTTTGTATGTTTAACTCTTTTTGTCAATGCAAAACATCATGGAAACAAGATTTGTTGATTCTGACACCTACAACAAATGGCAGCCGTGAACCAAAACAACAAATGTTTCCAACACCTTCATGACGCTTTAACACTTTCATGATTAACATTAACACTGCATCACCTCACGTGAACCAGACCGTGTCTCAGTAATCTCTTATAAATCACACATTAACTGTAAAAGCACTTCAGTTCCCAGAATGCATTGTGGTATAAAAAAAATTATGCATTGGATGCATTTGCTGGTTTATTTTCGAAAATTAATTACAATAAAGGACAATATTGCATTTCTAAGTTATGATCAGAGTTAGGAGTCAATCACAATGCAAAAATAGTTTTCTTAAAAGTGCTAAATTAAATTAAAATTAAAGCAAATGTAATCACTAGAATTGCGACTTCAAACTAAACCGATTATCCCACGATGCAACACAATACGTTCATTCTTCATAGTAATTTGTTGTTATTATGAAATTACTGTAGCATTTTGTAAATCCCTGGCATTCTACAGTGAGTCATTCTGAAGCCTAATGCGTGTTTATGAATTATAAATGAAGTGGTTATGAAGGGTTACTGTAATAGTAGTCCTCCTGACAGCACGCGACTCTATCAGAACTCATTCACACGTGAGCAGAGACTGCTAGAAAACACATCTTACTCTTAATATACATCATATCCGAAGCTATTATTTCCAATCGCCCATATGCCAGTATGAATAACGGATTCATAAACTGCTACTCAATGAAGTTACGCGAATATAACGGTACAGCCCGACCACAGCCGAGCATATACATAGATCATCATGATAGACTCAATCAATGATTAATTATGCATCACCAATCATAACACAAATCACAATTCAATAATTCTGAAAGCCGGATTGAGAATAACGGTGCAGATTCAACAAGTCCAAATTTGCGATTATGCTGTTAAAATGTCACTATCGGCCATTATTAATAGCAGCTGAGCTTTTACCGCGTATAATGGGTAACAACGATATTTTCCCGAATAAAACCAGCCGATTCCTGACATTAAAACAACTAGAAGCAGAAGCGGAGAAGTGAAAGAAAGCGGACTTACCCTGAGTGTAGACGAGGGCGCAGAAGTTGCAGGAGAGAAGCAAAATGATTATCTCACAACACACGTACATCTTATTGAAATCCTAAAGTGCATGGTGGACTCAGACGCAAACGAGACTCGAGCTCCATGAGAGCATCTGTGCTAGCGGGAGCGCAGGAGAGCACAGGCCGCTCAGGAGACGCGGAGCGCGGCGTGGAGCTCTGAGCATGTGCGCGGAGCTGGAGCTGGAGCTGGAGCTGGAGGAGCTGGAGGAGGAGGAGGGCTGGGGAACTAACGGAGCCATGAGCAAACACCGCACTTATACCGTTATGTGCCCGAGGGGTGGGAGAGGGGGACGGACACACGAGCAGGAGAGAGAGAAAACAAGAAAAACAGCCTTACAAAACTTACAAAAAAGATCAGACCTGGATTAGTGTGCGCCATTACAGCAGTGTTGGGAAGGTTACTTTAGAAATATAATAGCCTTAGTTACAGATTACAAGTTAGGCTACCCTATTTAAAATGTAATATAGTGTAACTATTTCAATTACTTTATTGAAGTAATGTAACTGATTACTTTTGATTACTTTTCTAATGTTTTCAAAGATGTAAAGCGGGCAGGGTTAACCTTACAGTAGAATTACTGTAATCCTTCATCACAGATTAGCCTATCATTCATTTAATTTCAAAGCACAGCCACCACAAAATCAGACTTTAGCACCTCTTTTTACTTTGAGATTGTTAATACAGGTTTAAAATCATCATAACAATAAGCAGTTTAATAGCTATGATACTGTTTTTGGAATCAAATCTTTGCACAGCTGTGACCGGAAACACGGACATCTAACAGTGCCTTGGAAAAACAGTTCATCTTAAAAAAAAATTTAAAATAAAGCATATACATAAACCCAAATAGGAAAGTACACAGTTATTGAATAAGCATGTGTCCTAAACTCCTGAAACATTGGTGTCTCATATTTTAGAGCAGTCAATGCAATTTATGAAAGAAATCAATTAGATCTGTACTGTATGTGTGTGACAATATTCAGATGTAACCCCCCTTTGTAATCATTAACATCTTTATAAGTAACTGTAATTTAACTACACATTTTTTCTCAGTAACTTTAATTACAATTACATTTATTTTGTAATTAAATTACGTAATTCCACTACATGTAACTATTTACTCCCCAAGACTGCATTACAGTTAGAAAAACATATCATATTTGCCTAGAGAGAGAAAAATATTACAAAAAGACAAGACTGAGAAAGACAGACAGACAGACAGACAGATAGATAGATAGACAGATAGTAACAATCAC